TTTTGTCTTGGATGATGTCTCATTGACGCGAACGTATATCCCCACATCTGCTTCATATAAGTTCATACATGTATTATCCATATATGACAAGAGATGCTTCCCGTTCGACTCACCAGGCCTTTCGGTTTGAGTTAATGTAGTTGTATTCAATTCATGTATTACCCTTATAGAAAGGACTATATTTGCGTTCAGTTCTGTGCATCTTATCTCATTTCGTTGGGTTTTTTTTTCTGTTGAGCCAAGTTATTCTCAACTGATTTTTACAGTTTCTTTATGTTGCAATTGTACTATAGATAGGTACATCACTGTCTCAGATTAGGGGAGGATTAAGCGCTCACAAACATGTTTAACACTGCAACATTCTTTATTTATCTGTTCCAACCCAGGACGCTATAGTCCAGTTGGCTGTCGTTGGTTGCTGTCTACAATAATTATTTCTCGTGTTATGTAATTAGCTAAATTTAGTCCGTTGGTGTTCTTGTTGTGAATTTGCTTCACCTTTTTTTTATATCTCAGGATGTTTTATATCTTACAATACGGTATTGGTTGTGTTCATTGATGTAGATCGTATTACTACGATCATGACTTATACATAGTGGTTAACATCAGTGTCATCTTGTATGTAGTGGACAGTTGTCTCATTAGAAATCATAACACCTGCTTCTCCCTATTCTTATATATAAAGGGCCATCTTTGTTAGGCCTGGTATTTTTTATAACTTTTAACGACCGCCTCTTAGTTGAGGATACTGCTGGTGGACGCGTCGTCCCCGAGGGTATCAACAGCCCAATAGTCATCATTGTTTTTGCTAACATGAAAAATCAAGCAGTCAATCTCTGTAAATTTACTGTTCAAGTACTCTATTCGTGAATGTTATTCTGCTCCAAAAAAGATATCCTTATTCAGATTCTATGTTGTGATGTTACACTATTGTTTCAGATAAGGGTGAAGGTTTGGTACCATTAAAACGTTTAAACCCGCTGCAATTGTTTGCACCTGTCCTAAGTCAGGAATCTGATGTTCAGTAGTTGTCGTTTGTTGATGTGGTTCTAAGTGTTTCTCGTTTCTCGTTTTTTATATAGATTAGACCGTTGGTTTTCCCGTTTGAATGGTTTTACACTAGTAATTTTTGGGGCCCTTTATAGCTTGCTGTTCGGTGTGAGCCAAGGCTCCGTGTTGAAGACCGTACTTTGACCTATAATGGTTTACTTTTATAAATTTTGACTTGGATAGAGAGTTGTCTCATTGGCACTCATACCACATCTTCTTATATCTATTAACACAACTTTTCTGAATTGCTCTTCAACTTCGTAATTAATTTGGTCCTCCAACTGTTATGATTCGAACGGTTCATACCTCCTATTCCCACTTTTTATAAATCTGGTAAGAAAAGTTAAAATTTCATGTGAGAATGGGGGGAAACTTGTGCAAACAAAGGATTATACTGTATAAACATTGTTTAATCAACTTTTAATTGACAAGTGTTTTTTTAGGACAGGTAATAGGTTAAGTATTTTTGTATGTGTATGAATTCTGTGTTTTTAATTAAAATAAATATGAAAGAAATGGAAACAAATATAATTAAATAATTTTATTTCTTTTATAACTCAAATTCAACAGTAAATTCAAGCAAGCAATATAATATATGAAACAAACAATACAACAGCACTAAAACAAATCGCACATTGTAGCACACACATTAGAAATTCACTGTATATAAGTCTATCAAAGTTTATTAATCTATTCAACGTGAAGAAGGTGGGAGGCTGCATCACCAAACTGTACTGTTGTGACTTCCTGGTTGCGGTGTCTAACCTTGAGCTCTTCTAATATGTTCTTGATTTCGACATACTTTCGTTTTTGGGCCACTCGATCTCTTCCCACCGGCTGCAAACTGGATCATGGTCAGGGCGTTGAAAGCTTCCTCATGTTTCAGTAGTTTTATGAGTTTAAAGATGTTTGGATGTGGGTGCTGGACATGTTTCTTCAGCTTGCTGTGCCATCCCTCTAGATGACTTGTAGTCCTCGGTCCCTGTGTTGTGTAATGATTCCAAAGGTGACTGCTCTGTTCGACCCAGAATGTTGTTGTATAGTCTGTAAAGGGCGTGTAGTTGATGTTAGTATCAACCAATCGAACGCCACAGATTGATGTAGAATAAACGCGTTTTGAGTATAAAATTAGATAAGCCTTGTATCTTTTGTGATTTCTGTTTGCGTTTTCTTACAACCAGCTTGATCATAAAGCTATCATTTGTCGCGAACAATAGATATTGTAAAGAAAATTCAATAACAATCAACGTCTGGCTATTACAGAAAAAGGAAAAAAAAAACAACACATCAACATGCAGTAATAATCTATATTAGTCAACGTTTCTTCAATTCAATTATTAAAGAAAATTGTGTTTCTTCAATAATCGAGAAAAATGGTTTTCCTTGGTAGATGTGAAATAAAATGAAGCAATTTTTGTCCTAAAAAAGCGGGCATAAATATTCGGTAAACGAAACAATTGCTTGTGTTGATCTATCAATTGAAAAAAATTGTTTCGATTAATAATGGCTAAAACCTATTTAGCAAAGCATTAATTCTTTTGGCACGTCAAAATTCCCTGTACAATCATGTATATATAACAGTTGAATTGTAAGTACTTGGTCTCGTTATAACAATTTATAATTTATAAACAAAAATACTGTAAAAATCTTTTCAATCATATATAAACTGGCATTTATTACTCAACATTGTTTTTAAATTAGCAGATAATTTAAACCAAAACTTTATTTTTTAAGATAATATATAGATCTATATGATATATAAACATTTATTACAGATGGAAATAACGAGGAGAGAAGATGCCAAGGCCGAAGGGGGACAATCAAAAGCCATACAACAGAAAACCTCATGTACAAAAGAAAAGAAGACGAAAAGAAAATCAGCAGACAACAAAAAACTATACACAGAAAACAAAATACTGTACCAATCGCATGAACTCAAACCGGAAGATCGTCAGGTGAGTCGACAGAGAAGGCATTCCTTGCTACAAAAATGTATATAAGTATTGATAATATAAATATATACATACATATATATGATATATACTTATTTGTGAGAGCTGACGTCTCCTCTAATAAAAGCGGTTCAACTGCAGGATGGTGCAAGTCGTGTGGTAACAGACGATGTCTGACTTGCCAACAAATACAGAATACTCAAACATTTACTTGCCACTCCACTGGGTCTGTGTACACTATATTTTTCAATGTAACTTGCAAAACCCAGAATGTTGTATACCTTCTTCAGTGTCGATGTGGCGTGCAGTACGTTGGCGAGACAGAACAGCCATTCAACAAACGCATGCATGGCCATCGAAGTGACTACACCTGCAAGCCCGACCTTCCCATAAGTCGTCATTTGAGATCACCTGGGCACGCCCAAGCTGATCTCAAAAACCTTACCATCACAATCATAGACCACAACGAGGCTTGGTCAAGGGCCGACAGACTCGCTCGGGAAAGGTTTTGGATAAGAAAGCTTAGGACAGTTTCCCCAGAGGGCATAAATGGAAAAACATACTACTCATGTTCCTACCATCACTTGTTTCCAGTAACTCAGGCTTCCGTACTGGACTCTTACAGTTTTAAGGAATTGTTTTAGTTATACCAGTTTAAATTACAAGGTTCTATTCATTTGGGAGGGATGTATAAGTACGCAGTCACGTTCAATTATTTAACCTTAGTCAAAATTTATTATTATTTTTTTAATCATTATCAAACTGCTATCTATTTGGATGTTTAAATACGCAGCCCTGTTTTAATTACTCTACCGTTGTCAAATTTGAAATATTATACTAGCTTGGATCGGTCCGTGATGTTTATTGGGAATGTATTTCCACGCAATCGTTGTTGTAACATCTTAACTGTCGTCACCTTTGAAATTTTAGAGTTGTACCAGTTCATATCGCACATTACTCTTTTTATTTGAAGCATATCTTTGCAGTCTCTGTTGTAAATAGCTACATAACCTATGTCATGTTTGAAAAAAAAAAAGAATTGTACAAGCGTCTCTATGATGTTCAGTTTTGACTGTTTTATTGTATAAATTTCAAGATTGTTATAGTTTTATAATCAGACTAGATTGATATGATTCATTTTACATCGTGATCATACTGATGAAGGATATCTGTTATCCGACATATTTAACATTAATTTTGTTCAATTCATTAATATTTTTTGGTGATGTTGTACCCTTTTAGACTTGTTATATATAATGTGGGGGTACACATTTGCATCAATGAGACAGCGACCAATGCCAACAAATGACCAAAAGACATCTATAGGACAACAATTATAGGTATCAAGGGATCAATAAAAAATCATAGGTCCAATAAAAACAAACAACACCATGGCGAAAACAAACCACTACACAGAAAACTTAAGATAGAAGCCCATCAAAAACCGGAAGTGAACTTATATGCTCTGGAAGACTAAGTTTTGCAATTGAGATGAAGACATTCAAAAGTAGTTCTACGGTGTACTAATAAAATCACATCGCTATTACCATGATAAAATATCCCATGAAAAGCCTAAATTTGTTTATGCATAATGGTTTTCAATATTACAATTTACTCTGTAATTCCAAAACTGGCGTTTATAAAGTGTGATAATTAAAACTTCATCAATATTGCATATTGAGGACTTCTGTTTTCAATTTACCTCATCAATTAATTTTGTTACTTTAAACACCGAGTAATCGATATCGAGATCAAGTGATTAATTGATTGGTCCGTGATTAGTTACAAAGAGTACTTCCGTTTAGTTAATTACAGAAACCCATAACCCGGTTAAAATGCACATATCCATTAAAAGCTGGGAAAATCTTTAAAACGAAGCTGTAATATATATCTCAATGTTTTGAAATACTAATCCGTATATATATGTTTCATACCCTGTTGTAAATGGACTAGATCGATTTTAGCACAATGCTGTATATGTCTTTATAGAGACTCGTTGACAATTGCCGAGCAATTCGCGTGTTTTCAAATACAAGATAGATTTCTCACGGCACAGTAATTTGTTTAACGTAATCTCTAATCTTTTTACTGTAAGACGTTAGTTAAAAGGACTCGCTATTGATACAATTGACATTTTCAGCTCGGATATTGATATACATAATATTGAGAAAATGTTGGATTATACGTAATTGAAAGTTGGTTATATAATTGAAAACTCGTTAAAGAAGATATATATTGGCAATGGAAAATTTATGTTTTGTGACAATTTTAGTTTATGGATTTTTAACTAACTTATCGCATACTGCAACTGCAGAGGAACCGTGCTACGGGTGCCAGCTTTTTAATGTTAGAGATAAGGAACAAAAATCACGAAGAGCGGTAACTATGTTTTACATGTTATGATTCTTTACATTACATGTTTTTCTACATTTAATGCTGGAACAAACTGAAATCTATTTTTTTTCTTATTTTGTTCGCTTACCGGATGCAAAATACATTTATATTTTATGACGCTAAAATTATATATTTCTTAAATATGAAATTATAGTGGTGTGAGGTTTACGCCAATGAGAGAACAAGAACACACAAAATTCAAAAGATAAACAGAGGTCAGGCAACATACATGTGTACATTTGGGGTCAAGCACTATCGTCTCAGCCTGGAAAAGTTGTGAATAAATTTAACAGAGACTATCGAAGATTCAGAAGCAACACACAAAAAAAAGTTTAAAAAGTATTGTAAAATGTACGTAAATCTTATGCATGTGTTATGATCAAAACTTCTATGTGAAATTGATAAAGTATGTATATGAGCAGATTCGAAATTCACTTAAGATTTTAACGTTTAAAATGTATTACCTATATCTTTTTATATTATTTTCAAAAAACAAAATGTAGATTAAAAAAAAATATAATAGAAAATTTCACCTTTTGAATGAACTAAATGGTGGATGTACTTTTTCATGTTTTTTTTTCATTTATGCAATCAAAAAAATATTTAAATAAGTACATATTCGTAAATTGACCCGGAAGACGTCTTTTTGCAACTTTCGTTTGATGTGTTTGAGCTTTTAATTTTGCCATTTAATAAGGGACTTTCCGCTTTGAATTTTCCTTGGAGTTCGGTATTTTTTATATTTTGCTTTTTTTTTTACTTCAACACTTATTCTCATAGCCCAATTTTTAATTTTTTTTTATTTACAAGAAAAAGGTCTAAATTGATTGATTTATCCGGAAGTAATAGAAGATTTTTTTCAAAAACCATATTGTTTAACATATTGCTACTTTAGCGTGCTTCCATAGTTCATGTGCCCTAGTCTGTGCCACGTGTTTCTGTCGAACGATGTCTGGTATCATGTAACCTTTAATTAATGTCGCCGTACTGGAGCAATCAAATATCATAATATATTGATAAGTAATAAAACTTGATTAACACGGTACTGATATCGGATAATTATAATCAAAATTCCTATGAGACGGTTTATATGAGGAAAGGTTTTAGCATTTTGTTCGATTTATGATGTTTTAGATCTAATCTGGCATTTTCAGAAACGTGAAGAGGCAAGAGTTAGTCATACCCAAATACAACGCCCTGTTAACATTTTCAGCTTAAATGTTTTTGATTTACATTTACCGTTTCAAAAGCATTTCTAAAGAAGAGATTTTAATTTTAATTCCTCTGGGAAAGCCAATTACTATCAGATTGTAATATTTTTTTGTCGTTGGATTATCTAATCAATAAATACGTAGATGACATATTTATGAACAAACAAAATTCTTTCTAAGTATGACCAGTCGGTCTTCGCTTTCTTAAATGAATGAGAGTACCTGTTATATTGACAAACAATTCTGATAAGAATTATTCACAGTAATCAAGAATAAAAGCATTGACACGGAAGAAATAAAATATTTTTAAGCTTAGTTATCAGATGATATTGATGTTTTCACAATATAAAGTCTTTCCTTTAATCATCGCCTGTCGCCGTCACCCTAGCCTTTTTCGCAATTCACTAATACGTCTGTGTCTTCAAACATTTCTTAATTATTAATGTTGTTGATTGAGTAATTTATAATTGGTTGTGATGGAAATTGTCCTGAAAATCAAAAGCCATCTACAAATACTTATCTATAGATTAAATTACGAGGAGGTTCAGCTAAATTAAGCGTCTTCTAGCAGATGAAATATAATTCTATTTATTTGATTGACAATCAACGTTGAAAGGAACATCTTTAGCGGAATTAACTTTTTAGTAGAAATGGAAAGAAAAAATGATCATGATGACACACCGGCGACATGTAAATATTTCATCACGACGTTCACGAATCATCAATTATATAGACAACATATATCAGATTGGAAATTTCTGTGTTGTCTTAAAATCACTTCTTTTTATGATTGCTGCAAGTTATGTTCCATTACTGTTACAAAATCATTGATTTCCTATGTCTTCAGTTTTTGCATTCGTAAATGTAATCTTATAATTAAGACTGACAGGGTTAAAATTTTAAGTATCGTAAGTCTCGAAACTTGCTTTTGCTGTCTGTTGATTGCACGGTTTGTGCTGTTTGTTAATGTCTCATTAGAAATTAGTATCCCTTACAATAAGTAAAAATGTACCATTATTATATTTCATTACTATAAATATGACAAAATGTAATTTGACAAGTACAAATTTAATCCAATGATAGTAAATGAGTTTTATTCTATACTTTGCAATACAGGGTGTAGTTAGGTTAGCTTCATTGGCGTTACATAATATTGACCGTGGTACGAAAGTACTGTCCGGACAAAATGTTTAATTTAACAAAAATCAACTAACGTAAGTCATTTCAAACCTTCATCATTTATTCAAAATCGTCATAAATCTTACGCATAGTAGGACTTGCAAGTTGTATATAATCGCCATAGAAAGTTCACCGAAAACATTCTGTATACCCTCAGATAGACTTAGCGCAAACAAAGATGTTTAAATATCTTATAATTTAATATGTACAATATTTGAACAAAATATGCAAAGCAGGTAAAATTTAGAAATGAAAAATCTGTAACAACCGAGTCATAAATTTTTTCTTATAGAAATGTAAACCTCTCTTTACATATTAACCATACTAAATTGACTCTCCCCTATTTACATTAAAAAATTGTACTTCAAATGTTAGATGTATTCCATAACCACAACAAGCATCTTGAGATTCCAAAATTGTTTAGTATCGATAATTTTTTACAAATAGATTTACATGTCTGTGTTTTCTTATTCCCCCAGAGAATCAAAACTACATTCAGTAATTGGTTGCATGCCTAAGAGTCATACATATATTTTAAGACATTCTGCTAAAAAGAAAAAAAAAACTTTCAATCAACTCGACACTTGAAAATTAATTTTCCTTATACAGAACAAAGTTTATGATGAATTACAGTTAAAATTATACTGCTGTTTGCATTCTATTACGAATTTTTAGTTTCCGTTAGGCATTAAGATGGATCCACAAACTCTTCCTGGTTGCGTGTCTGAGAGAAATCAACAAACTGCGACTTATATCTGGCGTAAGGAGTCATAAAGTCTTGTTAATTTAATTGCCGGCGAAGAAATTGAAATCTCGAGAGAATCGTGTTTCATTTCCAATCCTGAAATTAGATTGAAATCGACATTGCAGTACATAAGCCAAAAACTACATGAACTGTTGCTTGAAAATTGACGACTTAGTTTAGGGGCTCTAAAGGCAGTCCTAAAACCTCGTGTTCCAAAAAAAGCTGTATAATATATGTTTACACAGAAGTTCGCTTATTGTTTTAATGTGTTTATTATGACGATTCGTAAAATTTTCTTTTCTCACGAAACTAAGAACCTTGTCAATTCTTCAAAAATGGTCATAATATTAATGATTGTATAGACTATTAAAGCTTTTTTTTATGTAAGGACAAGATTTATTGTTAGTTTTGTTGTTGTTTTTTTTTTGGGGGGGGGATGGGGATGGGGAACATTTTTTTGTGTGTTTATGGATAAAAGAGATGTGGGGTATATGTGAACGAGTCCCGGAGACAGTAATCAAACGATATAAATAACAGAACGATATCTAGAGGTCAGCACATAGTCTTCAACAAAAGACAATTTTTCAACGTTTTTGCAGATTTTCCGGTCGCATGAGATTTGTCGGAATCGGGGATTTCCTCTTTTTTTTTACTGTTCATTAAATCCTGGAGGTCTAGAAGTCCATTTCTCCGACCGCAATCAATTCGTTTTGGGATATAAAGTTTTACCCTTCAATTGCTCGTCGCACAGTAGGTTTCCCATCAATACACGAAGCCTATCGCGACCGGGTGATCACCTAAAGAATATTTTCAAATATTGTTAGGGACTTCTTAACAAAAGTTTGATGTTGATAATTATTTTGTTGTCCAGTGATATGCCCTTCATATAGCGAAAACTAATCAAACTTATATTTTTCCACTCAATAACTTGAGTACGCTTCAATAAATATAATTCGAATTTTAATAGCACACGAGGAACAATTATAAATTTTACAAATTTCTCATATGTCGTCCACGAGTTCCAAATAAAAGTGGGATATGAAAGTACACTTTCACGTCCAATTGCAAGTATGGGGAAAATTAAAACCATTGACATATGCTAGATGATTATTTAACTTAATCTTACATGCATTTGTTATGGCAGCTCACCGTTTCTCTTGTTAGACAATGGCATTCTATACATGTCCGATGTACGACGATTTGTTTTTGTCAGTATTATATGCCGCTTGAGAGACCTTTGCCTGCATGTTGGTTGTGTCACGTTGATGTGTGTGTCAGTATTATATGCCGCTTGAAAGACCTTTGCCTGTATGTTGGTTGTGTCACGTTGATGTGTGTGTCAGTATTATATGCCGCTTGAGAGACCTATGCCTGCATGTTGGTTGTGTCACGCTGATGTGTGTGTGTCAGTATTATATGCTGCTTGAGAGACCTTTGCTTGATGTTGGTTGTGTCACGCTAATGTGTGTGTCAGTATTATATGCCGCTTAAGAGACCTTTGCCTGTATGTTGGTTGTGTCACGCTGATTGATGTGTGTGTCAATATTATATGCCGCTTGAGAGACCTTCGCCTGTATGTTGGTTGTGTCACGTTGATGTGTGTGTCAGTATTATATGCCGCTTGAGAGACATTTGTCTGTATGTTGGTTGTGTCACGTTGATGTGTGTGCCAGTATTATATATCGCTTGAGAGACCTTCGCCTGTTTGTTGGTTGTGTCACGTTGATGTGTGTGTCAGTATTATATGCCGCTTGAGAGACCTTTGCCTGTATGTTGGTTGTGTCACGTTGATGTGTGTGTAATTATTATATGCCGCTTGATAGACCTTCGCCTGTATGTTGGTTGTGTTA